GTAAATTTATACTTTTTGTCATAGTTCGTTTGAGCGTTCTACCGGGCCGATTTCCATGATTTTTGCGTAAATCGACAGGTAATACGTTCTAGATGAGCCCGCTGTAATCAGATTTTGGAAAAAGGACCCAGGTTTTTTTTAAAATCACGTTATAAAAGCGAGTGAGTTTACAGAATTCTCCGGTACTGCTACCGCTATGCACGGGAGGATGCGCAGTAGCTGTAGCCTGCGCATCAGCTCTACACTTATCTACACAAGATTTGCGCCCATGATTTCATGTTCAGCGGTGGGCGATTCGTCTAAGACGTCTAATGCGTCTACTATAAACCCGGTGTGGGTTCGATCCCCGGCTCATGACATTCTAATTATTAACCCACTATTATTGTTCACTGTTTTACTGCAATATTTCATCAAGCAGTCATTCCAAAACGCGTCCTTTTAATTTTAAAGTAATTTTAAGTAAAGTTAAAAATTAAAGTATACCTCATATCGTATTTTTTTAGGGGAAAAATAAAACTAACACTGATAGGAGGGTAAAAATAGGGCCGCGAAGCGGCCCATTGATGGCGCGGAGCGCCTTCAGGGGGTTGGACCGCGTAGCCCCCTAGTTTATTTTATTCTTAAAAAGTTCAAAAGTTATAGTCTGACGACTGAAAAATCCACGAAAGAGAGAACGATTTAATCTGTACGACCACTCCTGTCCCCCTTCTACCCATCGCAACCCCCCTTCCTCATCTTCCTTTCGACCCAAAAATATGTGTTTTGAACTCCTTCCGCCGCGCCGACGTGTGTGGGACTATAACCCCTTTAATTGCTGTTAATTACACTGGTACTCATGTAGCTTGAACTTCAGCAAGTTAGTAAAACTGAGCGGCTATGTGCAACGGCTGTAGCCAGATTTCATTCTGCCCTACATCTGTTCAGACACATGTAGAATATACAAATGCCGAGTGGTGTACTTAAATAGGAGCGTTCGCAGCCCTCGGCGCAAAATTATTCTGTCTAACTTTAAAAATTACGTCATATCATTTCAATATTTGCCATCGTGAATTTCCATTTTATCAATAAGATCATGCGTTTGTAGTACCAATGGTCTCTCCTGAGGGTGAAAATTGGACGTACTTCTGCCGAACAGAACTATGTGCATTAGGACGTGAGCCTCGTTATGAATATATTCATATGCACACAGTTCCATTTGGCAGAAATACGTCTAATTCTTAATCATCATCGTCATTAATATGAACGTAGAAGGATTCCACTTTCCCATTCCACATTTTAATCGAGTCCGGTAGGGTTGCCAGATTGTGCGATAAATTTGAATATTTTACATGGTTTGAAAGGGGAAAGATGATAACAATGTTGCAATCGCCTTAAAGGAATGTGTCTCAGTTTCATGAACTTTTGATTATGACATTTTCTCCATTTGGTTATTGACCAGTGGGTCTTAATTTTTGGGCAAGGAATGTTATTTTGTGTCATTGGACTACCATAAATTTAGAGACACAGTTGCTTAATCCTAGCGACACCTAATAGCGCTCGGAGTACATTGAATTCTCACCTTTGAACAGGGCTGGATTTGCCATTAGGTAATATAGGTCATCGTCTAGGGGCGCAACATTCTGAGGGATGTAAAATTTTCGAGAATTCTAAAACGTTTTTTCAAATTTTTTTGAGTTTTCCCTCTCTTCATACATATCAAAACCAGCATTTTTCTGAGGTTTAACTTTTCGCAACTGGGTACCTTAAAATCGTTTAAAATCGTGTTGTTATTTTGACAAATTATTTGGGCTATTTTTTTATATCATTCTTATTTGCATGGCGCTACCCAACTGTACCATGTCAAATGGAAACTCTTAATGATACAAGCTCTGGATTGGGGGGGGGGGTCGCTCTTTTCTGTATGAAAACATCGGTACATAAATCCCCCCTCCCCTCCCATCCCCGAGTAACAATCCTGTGACCCTTCCCGGAAGATCCATCTTGCGCGGCGCGCGGGACTTTATTGACTGTCACATTCTTTCTTCTTGGAGGATCCGTCAATAGCGGAGATTGACATTGCACTTATTTTTAACGACCGTGAACCGAGGGAAATCAAATGTTATTATTGAGCCACGGCGTTCGATTTAGTGGACGTCAATCATGGACGTGGGCCGGGAGGGGCGCGCGGCTGCTGCTCGCGTCTTCAGATGAATATCTTCGACCGACGCGACGTCTTGACGTTCTGTTCGCATCGTCGTCTTCGTCGTCGCATCTTGATCTTGATCAGTCGACTTAAGCTACGGTTCCACAGGGAGCGGGCGACGCCAAGTTTTCCGCGCAAAATCAACCGCGCGCCATAATCTCGCGACAGGGTTGCGACGATAATCGTTAATAGTCGATAGTCGATAATCGATAGACGTTTGCGACGAGGGTCGCCTCAATTAGCAGAGTTAAAAGAGAAACCAAACCCGTAATTTGGCCTGGAGCGGCGCAGCGCAGAGAGCAATGATAACGGGGACTTATATGAAAAGGAGAAGCCCTCGGCGCGGCGCGGCGGTCGACATGTAACTCATTAGCGCCTTCAAGACTGCAGGAATACTTCACGCATTGCGCCAAACACAGTGCGGCGTGCGCACCCCCGGCCCATCAGAAGCGCTAAGCCGGACTTATGTGCAGTCGAGACCCGCCTTAAGTATATTGAAGAACGGTGGAAGGACCGACAAAATTCGGCCCCAGTATTTGGAATCAAGTTGCTGACGGCAAATGTTCCCTGTTATCCCGAAGTGGTTTTAGTCCTCAGTAGATCACAAGTGGTTTTAGCCCTTTTGTACGAAAATAAAGTAAAAATGTGCATTCCGATAAGGCAATATGAAGGCTGGACCATGACTGACAACAACTTCATCGGCTTTCTTTTAAAATTACATTCCACGCAGCTGTTCAAATGTGTTAATTTAAATCCGCCATAATTTCAGTTTGGTTTGATATTTTTGCCCGGACGTTCGTGATATACTCACCGATGCCCTGGTTTCAATGATTTAATCTGGAGTTTTTGTTGACTTAGTTTATATTCTCAGATAAAAAGGGTAATTTTATGCGATGTCTGTGCTGTACATCGATTGAGATTCCATTGACCCCACGGGGGAAAAAACATCTCTAATTTTAAAAGGCTCGAGTTACAGACGGAGGAAATAGAATCCCGGCGCATTTACAATCCAATTTGTGCGTACAAACTAATTGTTTTACAAAATACACGTGCAACGCGACGAGACGGCTGATGACGCAGAGGAAGTCAGCGCGCCGTACCGCTTCGTGGCGGCCACCCTCACCACTAATCACAAACCGCAAATTAGACGTTTCAGTAGCTTGTCTACAAATCATACTCCAACGGCGCTAAATTGAATCAAGAAAAGACAGGTTTTATCGCAATTTTACGGGGTCTCGAGAGTCTTCCGGCGAACTGACAGCGGAGTCGAGATGAATTCGTCTCCGCATTCAAAAGAGTTACTCATTTGCTGGTAATTACAATTCAGAATAAAGTTGTTTGGAGTGGAAACTAATTTGATGGTAAATCTTCTCGCCGCCTCTCTTCGGGCCGCAAACACGTTCTTCGGTCTCAATTTGCTACTCTCCTCTGTCTGAAAGTTTGATTTCTTTGTCGAAAGCGTGGAGCGGGGAGAGGAGAGGCACACCGGGAAAAATCATCTCTTATATTCGGCAAAAAATTACACACAAACTTTGAAACCATAAACTAAATAGCAGACAAGGTTAAGTAAATATCCATCCGTCTGGATCCTAAGTGAAATTAGCGTGAGCTACTTAGAATAAAAATAATTCAATCTGGCTGCGCCATTTCTGCCTCATCTTTCTGTTTAAAATGAACACGTAACAACCTCTTTTGGTTGATTCACTTCTTTTACAAAATAATGATCGAAGCTGCAATCCTTTGTTTGCTAACTTGTGCAAGAACCAGAAACTGATAAAGTCAAAATTACATACGTAAGATAACCGAGGCCGGTGAGAAATCACGTCTTCAATTTTGCAGCATGAGAATGAGCCAAAATGTTTTCAGAGATTACAGATATTCTATAATCTTAACGCGAAACTTTAATCATGTTTTTGAATTTTTAATATTTTATTTGTCTATTTGTTTTTTTGTCGTTTACACTATTTTTAATTATTTATTTTAAGAAAATATTATTTTTAAAATCACAACATTCTCAACGTTCGGTATCCTGTGGGCGCACGCGCACGCTGCGTTTATCATCGCTTTAACGGTTCGAAACGTCTAAGCGCCTTCATTTGTCTGTGTATACAACATAGACATCTCCGGAGCACGAATAGTTGTATGCAGCGTAAATGTCACATACATCGTATAGGTTACACATGCCCCGCGTTGCGGAATCCATGGTGTAACACCATATTACGTACTTGCGTGGCATTTACATCTACCGACTTTGACTCGGTAGACATGCAGAAACAAATTCTGCTCAGCCTAATACCTGAAAATTTAAAAACCTTACATAGTATAAAGTTGATTACATTTTGCAATAGAGAACCACTATCTCTGGCTCTTCCATAAAAGCACCTTTCTGCGTAGGGAAACCAAGAGCATATATGGATTACATTTTGCAATAAGGAACCAGGAGCATTGCAATGTTGCTAAAATTGTGCAAAATCTATTGTCTTGGGAAAAAAACCTGACTATCCATAAACTGTTTCTACTTCACTCGCTAGAAACTGTAAATGTAAGACAAAAATGACCATGTGAATTTAATATTTTTTAATGCTTTCAGTAGCTTCACTGGAAAGGATGAAGTTGTACAATTTTAGCAACATCGAAGTGCTCCTGGTTCCTTTTTGCAAAATGCAATCCAATGCTGTTTCTAAAATGAGCCAGAAATAGTGGTTCCTTGTTGCAAAATGTGGTCCAAGTAAGCATTGTATTGAAAATAAGAATAAATCGACAAAAATATGAATTGTGTTTCATCTATGATGTAACGAGTGATCTTTTGTGTTGACAGGTATTGGAGTTGATGAAGGAAGTCGCGGAAGATGAAGATTCGAGCGACATTTCCGGTTACCATTCAGATTCAGATAGTGCCATTATGATGTCCGGGAACTCACCCTACGTCAGCAAAAGAGCCAGACATAATTTCTTAATGCGATCAGGTAACTAATCATAATTTTTCCTTAAATAATCATCTATTTTTTCTGTTTCTGGTGAATTATTCACGTAAATTTAGCACACGGAGAAAAAAACTTCGTGCGTGGGACCCGAAGTTTAGGTCATATGGATCTCTGAAGTTTTCGGATTGAGCATTCAAACACTTAAGGTCCAGCTGCTGAGGTTTGAATCACACATCTGAAACTTCAGTTCTTACATCTGAAGTACTTCAGATGTTCGGACGTCAGATGACGAGATTCGAACCTCGACAGCTAGACTTTAAGTGTTCAGATGCTCAATCCGGAAGCTTCTGAGATCCATTTGACCTAAACTTCGGGTCCCACGCACGAGGTTTTTTTCTCCGTGCGTATGAAGAAGATCAATATTGACCAATTCCCATCAATCTAAAGTAGGTAAAAATGGGACTTTACAATAACACTGCGAAAATTGTGGTACCTACAATAGAGTAACTAAAGCATGTTGGTGACTGATAGTATTATTATCCTTCATCCTGCATATGCATACTGGGCAGACAGAAATTTTTAGTGACATACCTCTAAAGTCTCTACAACCGCATAGTTTATAAGACCCTAATTCAAAGAAATCATAAAAAAGGGTCCTCGGGTACAGAAACTTATAATTTAATTTTTCACAGCAAAGCAAAGAAAAGTGCTCGCAAACGTCTTGGCACAATAAATGAAAAACGCTTGGTTTCAAATTAAGCCAGAACTTTGGTGGTTTTAAGTTCGCAGAGCAAAAATCATGGTATCCAGAAAAGAAAAAAAAACTATTTACAATTCTAATCTGATACCAAAGCACAAAATTACCAACAGATAATGCGACTTTATTCCCTCAATTGACCCACAAAAGTATTTTAACGACGTACAAGTTTTTCTCTAGGACACCAGACGAACTTTTTTGTCAAAATATTTAGAATCGATTTATCACCCTACTCGACAAAAACCGCCAGACTAAAATTTTCAACTTTCGTGGATCGAGATCCTATTATCTATAGACGATCCCAATGTGTTATACTAACGAATGTGACTGCAACATTACTTCAAAGTGGAAAATCCTCGTAAAATTTCATAAAAATAAGTGCTCAGCTTTTGAAATCCCCGTAAAATCTCCCCTCTCCCATCCTACCGAACGTCAGCATTGCCATAATTGAGGAAACGCCGTTTACGTAATACCACGCATACCCACCCACTCTCAGTTAATTACATAATTTACCAGTCTATTGTCTGAGGGGGTATTATACACACAGCGTCCGGCAATGGATCTTCATCTTGCTTGGATCTTATGACTGATAACGGCGACTCATTTTTAATAGTTTTAGCGAGTGATCTAGGTTCAGGCATCCGGAACAAGATGCAATGGTGCCATAGTGCAATGACTCACATCGACTCCCTTATTTTTTCAATCGGGTGATTCCAGAGAGTTGATTGACAAGTTTTTTTTTTCGGGGAGGGGGGTGTTTCTCTGACAAATCCACAAAATTATTTACTTCCCGGGCCTAGGGATATACATACAAGGACTCCTAAGATTTTCTCTGAAAATTTGCTTAGACAGAGAATATCCTTGATGGTGACAGAACGCATCATACAAGCATATTTTCTTCCCTCTCGTGCGTTTCCTCTTCTCTTCTCCTTCTCTTCTTCTTCTTCCTCTTCTTCTCCATCGCTATCTTCTTCTTATTACTACCTCAATCCGGGTTCAATATTCGATTTTTACTAACTTATCTTCCAGCTCCAACTCGTCTCAGGAACGTGAAAGCCCCGTTCTGTGAGGACGGTAACCGGGGAGAACCCCAGAAGTTTCATTCCTGCGATTCGAACTTGGGACCAATCCCATGAAAGCTTCCCGTGAAAGGCCTTACATTCCACATCGACCGGGAAACGACGCACAGTGGGTTGAGTCAATTACAAAAGTCGGACATGAAATTTTTTACTAAAACTACAAATTTTGATGTTTATTTCGTCACATTTTGAATTTCAAGGGGTGCTGAAAATTTCACGAGGAAACCAATGCAACCACTTTTAGAACCTCGAAGTTTTGAATAAACGGAGTTATAAGCGTTTAAAGTTTCCAAATTTTGTCCGACCTCTCCTATTGACTCAATCCACTGTGCGGTGTCCCTTTAAAAAAAACCCGTTAGAGATCACTCAAGTCTTAAACATTAAAAAGTATCTACTACTTGGATTGCATTTTGCAAAAAGGAACCAGAAGAATTGCGATGATTCTAAGATTGTGCATTTTCATCCTTTGCAATAAAATTACTGAAACTATGAAAAAATGTGAAATTTACATTGTAATTTTGTCTTAAATTTACTGTTTTTAGCGAGTAAAATAAAAACTGTCAATGGATAATCAGGTTTTTCTTCCAAGACAAAAGAAGTTGCACAATCTTAGCAACATTGCAATGCTCCTGCTTCCTTTTTGCAAAATGCAATCCACTTATATTTCTTATTTTAGTTGAAAGCAATGGAATATTTTCTCCCATCTTTGCATCAGTTTGGCAACTGATCCAGAGAGCATGCCTGCAGCGGCGACGCGACGCGGCGCGAAGCCTGAGAACGGAAAGTTCGTTCACACCTCCAAATGCGTCTTCGGAGCGTTTTCGTTCATATTTTCATGTCTTCATGCAAAACCTCCTCGGGTATTCCGGAAGCATTCCGGTCGCAGCGCAAACTAATGAAGGGAGCGAATGGTGAGAATGGACTGACGCGCACCAAATTCACAGTTTTGCGTAATTTTTTTGATGTAACTAGGCGGAAATGACCGACGGGCAACCAATGCCCGTTAGTCCGACTCATAACTCAAAAATTAATACATGTAACAGGGAAGGGAAGTGGATCTTTGTTTCCAGCAAAGTCAAAAATGCACCGCGTTCGATTGAAGTTAATCGTGCTGTCGTGAAGCTGTTTTTTTTTTAAATGTTCTTTCTCTTCTCTATAGTAGAATACGTAAAAAGTCAATAATCCAAGTTTCCCACAGAAACTTATCTAGAAAAAGAGTTTTCATGAAATCTACGAGTGTCTATTCTATAATTTATTGATAGGCAAGATTTGTACGCAACGCAAGATAAATCTTCAAATGGATGAAGAAAATAGCTTCAGGGTGGATTTTCTAGGCCTAATTTGCAAATTGAAGGGGAAACAGCCCTACGCGTGAACTCCATACCTACTTCGCGTATCAGTTCTGATTCCTGTAGATTTTCAGTTAGAAAACGCCAATTTTTTTTCTTTTTTTCTTTCTTTTTCTTGGGTGGGTTTTAAGGAAATATGAGTATTGCTAGCGCGGAGCCTTAAACGCATGTAATTGTATAGCATGCGTGAAGTATTCATGCAGTCTTGTAGGCGCTATGCGGTACACACTGACCGCACTGTGTTTGACGCAATGCGTGAAGTATTCAAGCAGTCTTGTAGGCGCTATGCGGTTCACACTGACCGCACTGTGTTTGACGCAATGCGTGAAGTATTCATGTAGTCTTGTAGGCGCTGATACATAGCACACATAGCACACTTTTAGGAATCAAACTTTCTATGCGGATTCAAGGATATTATGACATTCGAGTTTCAGGATTAGTATTCACTTTTTGGCAGCACGATACTTCGTATAGTAGTCGAAGTCAAAGGAAAAATGGATCAAAATGACCCTATTGGTGTGTTTTGTGTCGGTCTGGGTTCATTTTGTCTGTAACACAAGCATAAATGACGCCATATTTCTGAGATTGTAGAGCCCTGTAATGAGATGCCATCGAGGGTGCTCTCCATATCAGTGGCGAGGCGTTGACTATCGATTATCGATATTTCTCCATTTGAAGCTGTGTTAAGGAATCGATGATTAAGGTGTTCGTTGCGAACACCCTGTAAAGCGATCCTTTCCATAGGTTTGAATGACAGATCAATCGGTATATTGCGAAGCACGCCACGCCATTGCTTCTTATCATACTGGATACAACGAAATAAGATTTGCTCGAGGATAATAATTTACCTGGACGCTAAATTTTTCATCAAGGTCTGACAACTATGCCGAATCCTCTAAAAATTTTCGCGCGAGTTCAAAACTATGTAATGCATTCTAGGACCATGTCCAAGAGGCGGAACGGTTTATGGTCGATAAAGCGGAAACACGGACCAATGTTCCGATGTTCTTTCTTCGGGTTAGTACTCCCGATTGTCAAATGGTGCTGCATAAGCGCCTAATTCACCCGCTAAAAACATTTAAAAGTAAGAAAAACAAGTGAGAGGCATCTCTACAATATTTGGACTGCGTTTAACAGAAAGGAACCAAGCCACATCAGGTATTGCTAAATTTAATTGGGCAATTTAATTTTTTACAAGGAAACGTTAGAGCGGATTTTTTTGAACATTTTATGGAATTAGCTTCGCACTATGGAGAAAATTCTCTGGAATTTGCATGAAAATCTGCACAACTGTTTTTGTGTAAAAAATTAAATTTCCCGGTTAAATTTGGCAATAGCTGACGTGGCTTGGTTCCTTCCTGTTTAACGCGGTCCATTTATAAGTCGTGAATATTGTATGTTTTATCCACTTCCAGACAAATTTCGCATGTCTGGGAAATCTGAGCCTTGTGGTGACCGATAATATGGGCACCTCGAGTTAGGTTCGACGAATCGTTAGGTCGATGCTTTTGATTCTATTCAGAGATGATGCCAGGATATCATGATGGGGAAATTTAATAGCTAGCTTAATTGGACAGCATTTTGAAATTTGGAGCTATAAATTCTAAATAATGTGAAAAAACACTTATGTGCAAAAGAAAACTAATGGCACATACGTTGTTTTTAAATCGGGCCGAAATTTATAGTTCTTAAATGCAAAATGCAGTCCAATTTTGGTCATCGATGTGATTGGTTGTGCAGCCACATAGAGTCTTACACGCTCCGAGAGTAATTTTTGTATCTCATTTTTCGAAGGGTTGGTCAAGTGAGCCATCATCGACAACTCGTTTTATTCAGGGAAAAAATCATCAAGTTAAAGTTTCAAAAATTCTATGAAGCTGCACAATGTTCACGCACAAATATTCGGATTGCTGCAGCTTTTAAATGTTAAAGTCCTTCATATTTTTTTCCTTTTTTCAGTGAGATCCAGCAGTAACAGAAGTGCCAGAACCAACCTTTTGCTCAGTACAGGATCAAGTTCAGACAGCCCTCCAGACAGGGATAGAGAGAGAGGTACGTAGAAGCTATCTTTAGCGGGCAATGTTTAATTTGTCCTAAGGTCATCGTTAAAATTTAGTCTGCTCATGTGATAACATCCAATCTCTATTCAAATCCTCCAATAATTGAGGCACTGGATGCGAAAAGGGCACTTCTCGATTGCGGTATTTCAGAATCTCTGTTGCGAATTAATCCCTTGGAGAAGAATTTAATGGGTGATTTTTCCAAAATTCTTTCAATAGAACATTGTGGAATCATAAGGAATATTTAGAGAAATTTGTAGTGAAATGGATGCATTCACTTTCCTTTCAGTGAAAGAAATAGCAGATGAGACTCTGAAACACTGCAACCAAGAAGTGCCCTTTTCGCATCCAGTGCCTCAATTATCATGAGTAATATTCATTTTCCTAAACATGCTACTCAAGTTCCTATTCAAGCCCAAGAAAATTCTCGTTTCTAAGGATTCATGAGGAAATCTGTAATAATGCTCATAGACGTTCCTTTCAAAACTTTTTAGACTTTTTTAGAATTCGAGCTTTTTAGACTTTCTTAGAACATGTACTTCTAGTTACTGTTGAACGAACGTATATTATTGTTCTACAGGTAATTCCTGGGATTGGTCGACTGAGAAGGCAATGGACACGGTCGGGGTGAGCCTGGCGCTACCCTCTTCAGAGATGACCTGTTGCCGAAATTGCGAATCACGGGCCTCTCAACAGATAGCGCTGCCGGCCCCTGTCCACGACGACCGCGAGCTGGTCGCTCTTCAGGCTGAGCTGGACAACACCAAGGCTGAACTCGAGAAGGCCAATAAAAAACTCGATAATATCACCAAACAACAAGCTCAGGCGCAATCCTCCAAGTAAGTAAAAACGCAACGATGCACTCTTCAATCATGTATTCATTTGAGGGAAGGCGAGTAAGGATTAATTCGTATAAAATTCTTGTACATTTTTCGAAAATTCATTTCATTAATTTCTCAAGGAGCCGAAAAAAAAGCTTAAATTTTACTGTTTTTCTCCACTCTTATCTTCCCCACAAACGTATTCAGCCATAAGTATAATATGACCCTATCATGATTTTTTACACAGATGGGCTTTCACATATCAATTGCATTAACCATAGTTGGCCTTGCTGAATCAGATATCGACGGTGTAAGTCGGGAGTCACATAACTCGATTTGCGACGTACTCAACGGCAATTCTTTAAAACTGCCGTGATTTTTCTTGTTTGTGCGAAGATAATTCTGCAAAAATTTCAAGGAATGATGTCAGTTTGTTCTCCTTTAAAAAAATAACATAGAGGCGGAGATTTTTGGACGCCGCAAACGAGTTATGTGATTGTCGACTTACACCGACAATATGTTGCACAGTTTCTTATATTGCGTTTTTGTTTTCACAGAAAATCAATAAAAATTATGTGAGGGGGAAAAAAGTGTAAAAATTTTTAGATCAAACTATGTAAAGAAAACAAATTATACTCCATATCAGAGAGGCTATTTTTGTTTTTCGCAAATTGATTTATTTTCGATGTTACAGGGAACTATCCAGAGAGCGTTTAGTTCGCTGCTACGCTAATTTGTATTCGCAAGCAAGGGTGGACGCTTTAGATTCCCTGGACAAGCTACCGCAGCTGAGAGACGCTTCTGAGCTCAAATCCAAGATCCTTTTCTCCGTAGTTGTGGTATGAATTCAACATATATTTTCCGCTTGATTTCTTTAAATTAATATAAATATGCGATGCATTCAAATAAATCGACGATGAAATTTATAAAAATACAATTTTGAATGCAGTATCTCAAATTTTCCGCTGAAAGAGCTTGATGCACAAACGGCTATTTTACATCAATGTTCGCATCAACATAATTTCAACATGTACCAAAATTATCGTTATTAGCAGGATATTATCTATTGATTTTACTAATTTATCCAAAAAAATAATAAAAGAGGCTGCGCGCGTAGCTCCAGCTGGCGAGAGAGCCGAAGAGGATAAGAAACTCGTAGAATTTTCTTCATCAGCGCCTTCAATTCGTTGAAACACAACAATTGCCACACGCAGCTCTAGGCTTGCCGGCTTGCGTGCTTATGCTCATCGTGTGCGAATTGAAATGAAATCTTGATTGAATTCATTGAGCAGGGGCCTGGGGCCCTGAACTTTCAGGAAGGCATAGGAATACATAGGAGAGGATGGACTCTTCTTTTTAACTTCGAAGTGGAAGCCTTATTATTTACCGCATAAAGAATATAAAATGTCAGTACTTTCTATTTTCAGTTCTTTTTGAGTCAGATGTGTCAAAAAATAGGTATGAAGGACATCCACGAATTCACTGGAAAAAGTTAGAGTGCTAGCAGTTTAATCTTACAGGAGCTGCGTTTACCATTCCTAATGGCACCAGCCTTTACCTTTGGCGAGACTTTTTGGAAGTTCTCAATACCCTCTGATAAAAAAAAACAGTCCAAAATTCAGATTTGATTATTATTAACTCTGTAGCATTATAACTTTTTTTTTGTCCATCTCTCTACTTCCCATTCATTATTTTCTTTTTGTTACAAATGTACGCTTCATGAATGTTCCATTTATGTCTTTCCGAACAGCTTGCCTTTAGATCTGCTCAAACCATGTTAGGACATAAGAAAGAGAGTGTTAAAAGACTTTTGCTGAATCCGGCGCCTCCAAGCTCTGCACACACCGAATTAGAAGCAGCCGTCAGTACCTTCCTTAGAAAAACGGTTGATACCTTCGACTTAGGCCATAGTATAGACGTAAGTATATCATTTTCCGCTAATCTGGTTTTCCTCATCTGCCAAAACCAACGTAGTAAAGCTCTGAAAAAATAAGAAAAAGAAGAAGAAAATTAAGCTTAAAATCAGGATGAACAGTATAACAACATGCTATCAAAAACGCATTTTCCCCGTCATTTATACGTTTGGTATCAACATCAGGCTGCCTTGAAGCTTATGAAGCTTGATTATTATTCTTATTCAAAATTCAACTAATTTTTTAGAATATCATTATTTCGACGAGGTCAATAACATATTTACTCATATAAAACTTTTTATTACGCAATAGTTATCCCAAACTATATTCCATGCTCAACTGTTATCTGATGATGCTAATATGTTTTTTTCCCCTCTTTTTCTCTACTCCAACAGGAAGTTAGTTCTCAGTTATGGGCAACACTTTACGACTATCCAAGTTTGAAATGCTGCAATGGCCTAATTCAGTATATTCGAGATTCCGTGAGACTTGCTTGGGCATTAGTTAATCAGGTATGTGCACGACAAAGAATGTTAATTTTTTCAACACATTCCAAAATATCAGATAAAAAATCTTACTCTAAGATATAAAATCATGAGAGTAACGCAAAACGCATAACGCCCAAAGCGCGAGACGCTTCAGGGGGTTGGACCGCGAAGCGGTCAGGGGGCAATGGGGCATAGCCTATTAGTATCAGAGGAACAATGATGTTATCGAGTGTGTGTCTATGTGTGTTTTTTATCCTCCGAGGAGCTTTAGTGCAGGATGCTTCAAAAAGTGATTGGATAATTGAGGGGCTTGGAGAACAAGGCGCACAAGTGCTGTCTTCGAAAAAATTGAGATATCAATGATTTCAAGAAAAAGTAGTCTCAATGCATGTTCTGGGAGAACCGGGTCCCACTGTTATTCAAAATAAAATCATACAATACTTTGGGGGGGGGGGCATTATTTTCTAACCCTCCAAAGCAGCAACCCTTAATATTTATTTACTCCTCCCTCAAACACTAACCAATACTCATGCATTTTTCAGACACCGAGTTACGTGCTAGAATATGAACAGAGAGTCTTCAAGAAGGACATCCACGTGAGGTACCACGCATCCAATACAGAAAGTGCTCAAGTGAGAACGTATCTGTGGCCGGCGCTCCTCGAAGGCCCTGCAGGACCATGTGTTCACAAAGCTGTTGTCATCACGTGATAATGGATTTAATCATCCCTTGCAAAAATGTATCTGGTCACTATGATGAGGAGGACTGATTCATTGTAGAATACTTAATGAATGTTCGGTGACAAATAATTTACGCAGAGAGTGTAAAAAACTACTCACATCCACTGGACTGATATTATTATATGAACATTAATAAGAATACGCTGCAATAGTTTTTTTTATTAGATAGGTGGCTATTACACTAGCACTTTGACTGTGCAATTATAACATTCGTGGGCTAAATAGGCAGTCGGCAGTCTGTAGTGGCCCTACCGCTGACTGTACAATCTCTGCGCATGCGCAAACTGTTCGACTGTATACAGTCCTGACTGCTAGTGTGATAGTAGCTCTAAGTTTACAACTTTTACAAGTGTGCATTTTTCTACTGTGCCGAAAGATGGTGCTTTCGTTTACTTTTCGGCACTCGTTTCTGAGTTATCTTCCTTCGCTTATCTGCAAATTCAATAAGAATGATGGAAGTTAATCGTCTATTATTTTTGAACTTATGAATTCTAGAGCTCAGCGTAGGTGGTAAAATGGATTAGAACCACATTTCCCCGACAAAGCTGTCAATTATTGCAGTATTTTGAATGGGGAAAGGATGTAATAGTATTATGGAGTCGTTGCTCATAGCGTGAGTTAAGAGGAGAGCGTAAACCATGAATTCAGCTATTTTTGCCTCACCATGAAAAATTATTCAAAAATGTTAGTAAAAATATTTGATTTGTTCACATAATAAAAATTTTCTGATCTGTATCTATCATGAAACTATGTTACTTTTGTATTTAATTTAAAATAACAGGTAGTTACATTTTGTACAAGCAGACCTTTTTTTTACCATTTTTTCACGATAATTTATATTTTGGAAAAACGATATTCATTTCATTATCATTTAGTTGTAAAAATGTTTTACCTCCGCCTACTTGTTCAAAGCCAACTTAATGTTTATTTTTTTTTAAAAAAATAAATAAATAATAATTAGTATTTACCATATCTATTTACAAGTTTAAATTGAACTATCTTCATGTTTTTGATGGTAGTTTTTAATTATTTCTCAGTCAATTTCCCATTCCCTCTCTTAAGAAAATAGAGACCGAAAAAGAGAGGGTAGGAAGGAAAAGAGGGAGAGAAAAGGGGAGAAAGAAAATTATAGAAGAGAGAGGGAAGGAAAAGCATCAGCAAAACGATTGCTTAGCTACAATAGTTTTTAGCTTAGACTCGTAATACAGTAAAATCGCATAAGTAATTTTGTTTTATTCCTCGTGCACATTAACTATTTATTTCTTACAAGCTGCCTTTTCTCCCTTGATATTAGTATTAAACATTGGGTTGCAAAAGAGATGAAATGTATCAATCCAATTTTGTGATGAATGTCCCGAATCCCCCCTCCCCCCCCCCTTTTCTACGCTGAATGCTGTCCTTCCTGACCTCACTACGCCACTCACCATGTATGCATGCTACTGGTTCTTCAGTCAAAGCAATCGAAATTTCGAACACAAATACATTTGTTTAAATGCGGGGAGGGGAGCAGAAGGATCCCCGTAGTTGGGTCTTTTGCATTAAAATGCGCCTAAATGAAGACAAAAAAAAAAAACAAAAAAAACCTGACTATCTCCCAGAAAAGCATCTAAGGGCCTTTTCTGCCGTACGATGGAAAAACGCTGTATGAACATTCGAGAGTTGCCAAATTTCCTCCTATAAACCGTTTATATTTACGGAAATTTATGGATACTTTCCCTTGAAATTTCCTGGAACTTTAGGTGATATTGTAAAACAAATTATCTAAATAAATGGAAGAAAAATGTTCATAAGCTTTCTCGAAAATTCGTCTTTTATTAAAAAAATCTTCCAACGCCTGAAGGTTCATACGGCGTTCCCTTAACAAGACAGTATTGGAAACGAGGAAATCACACTTTAGACCCTTGAGCGGGGGTATATGGGAGGGGAGGGGGTCATGGCGCCCAATGGGCTGCCCCTTCGCCCGCAATTATTTCGATCTGAATGCAACTAATGATAATGATGATGATAATGTTGATGGTGATGATCGCTGAGAATAAAAGCTTCGTCTACCCTGCATGTATATTTGTATAAGTATCCATGACTACAAGGAAATGAAAAAAAAAAACGAATTTTAACTGCTGTCAGATGAGAATTTCACAGATTTCGAATCCAAAAAATGCAATTTTTTCGTGGTTTGTGCTTGATATCATTGGTGTTTGTTCCAATCAGTGTAGTAGGAAATGATTACTTTCTTGGGTGAGTGTTAGATACTGAATTATCTTCATTATTATTCACAAGTAGGTAATAATTTATCATATCCATGAGTTTGCGTAATCGGAACAACATTCTTCTATCCTTTAGCATGTGCTTTGTTTCTTCAACGAAATATAAAACGATTCTTCACAGCTGTTTAGCGTTTTTGCCAGATTTCCATGAGGAGGATTCTGAGGATATATTCACCGATACATTTTTTTCCTATTCAAAATATGGCGAACTCAAAACAATAACAAAAATTATTCTTATGTTGAATGTTTTTGCTGCATTACTCCTTGGCATGACAAAATCTTGAGTGTATGTTCATCTCCAGCGGTCATTGCGAACGAACTGTGATTGAATGTGGTCCAAAGGAGAACCCCTCTGAGCTAAAGGAAAGAAGCCCGGCACAGTGATCTTGAAGCAAAAAAAAAAAAAAAATGCGATACAAATTTACCCAAAAACGGGCTGCAGAAGTGAATCTATGGTACGTATTGACTTTAAATCGTGAAAAATCGAAATCTTGACTGATCCTATTCTCGAGATAGAGCGATTGTAAATTTTCATGGTAAATGCAAGTTTTCTACTCATTTTGATCCGTTTTTCTTTTTTTATTTGTCCATGGAATCGGTGTCGGCGGTTCACGTTTTTATTTTTCGTTTGCTCCATGTCGATCGAATATGTATACCCTCTCGTCGCATGTAGACTTCCTATCGTACTATTTTTTTCAGCTGAACAATTCGCCCTCTGCTGCGTCTGCAGCAATTGTTGTTACGAATATGTCGTGCGTGCTGATTTCAGCCCATTACATACTCGGCTCTCTGAAGGCGTTTCATGTGCGCAAGTAGCGCAATCTGTTGGAGAAATATAAAGGTGAGAGTGAATGAATTGCTCAATCCCTACTTCAATCGTTCTCCAACAGATGCCGCTACTTGCGAACATAAAACGCCTTCAAAGAGTCGAGTGTGTAATGGGCTGAAATCAGCACGCACGACATATTCGTAACCACAATTGCTGCAGACGCAGCTGAAGGAGAATTGTTCAGCTGAAAGAAATAGTATAATAGAAAGTCTGCATGCAACGAGAGGGCGTGTATTCGATCGACATGAATCAAACGGAAAATGAAGACGTGAATCGATCTACATGAACCGATCGACCCCGATTCAATGGACATACAAATAAAGAAAAACGGATCAAAATTAGTAGAAAACTTGCATTTACTATGCAAATTTTCAATTGCGATATCTCAAGAATAGGATTAGCCGAAAATTTGTTTCCACCGATTTGAAAAAAAAAGCGAAAAAGTTTTTCGTTTTTATTTTTGTTAGCGATTTAAAGTCTGCACGTACCATAGATTCACCTTCTGCAACCCGTTTTTGGGTACATTTATCGTAATTTGTTTAATTTTTCTTTAAAGCCACTGTGAGGGGAAGAGAGAAGCCTCCTTACACAACGGCCCAAAAAAGAGCCCCCGCAGTCAAGGGGGCGTGGTACTAAAACGGGCTCTTTTCAGCTTGTGCGGGGGAGCCTTAAAAGAAGATCCTCTCAGCCAAGGTGCAAAAATTATACACTTATGCTGCACAAACTTTCTATTTACAGAGTTGATGGCGGTTCAAAGAACCTTGGTGTCATAGGTAGGACCTTCTACAATGCTGACGCCGACCATGATCAAAATCTCAGAGAAATCAGAGCTCATCGACAAAGGAAGTCTTTGTTCTCTCGCCCTTCGTTTTTAGGGGGCTCTACAACAAGGAAAATCGACCCAAGCACAAAAGACTGGCAGGAAAATGTGAACTCTTTCTCTGCAGAAATCTCCAACAGTCGAGGAATATCAGCACCACCGCACGAGGCCGAATACTCAGTGTACCCACAAAGTATTAATCTAGAATCTAATTCACTTTCGGAGCGGAACGAAAAACCACACTCTAAAGTTCAGGAAAGTCTCTCGAATATCCTAGGTTCCCTTCAAAAACGGGAGGCGAACTCTCCGATCGCCCACGCGCACTTTTTCGAGAGAGGAATATCCAGCACCATTTCAAATTCACCCCAATCAGGAACCAGCGAAGCACCTGTTTTGGGAAACCAAGAAGCAGCGAGCAACGTTTCATCGGATGATTCCGACGAGCCAGACGCGCATGGATCAACCTATCATCGAATCAAGGTTGCCCCACAAGAGGGTCCGACAAAAGGGCGCAATGGAGCGAATCTCCTCGACGCCAAAATCAGGGACCTGACCAACCAGGTCAACGCCATCAGCAACCCCAGATCCGGACTGGTTCACGACAAATCAGACCTAGAACTACTCAACGAGGTAATCGACAGAGCGGGGAAGACGTCTTCTAGCGGGAAGAGAATCAGAAGTCTAGAGAAGGGCGCGCTCCACGAATCCAGTCAAAACGCTGAGCGAACGGATTTTCACAAGAGAATTTCGACGAAGGAAACGAGGAGCAAAGATGAGATTTCTTTAGACTCGGACCTGGAGCGAATGATCCAAGACGCTGCCGAGAGGATCGGTCTCTGGGTCAACCAGAATTTCGACACCGCTAGAAAAATTACCAAGTCAAAGTTGAAAGCTGATTCTACAGGGAAAGAACACACCAAAGCATTCTCAGAGGAGACCACTGATAAGGTGGCCAAGTCTCTAAGCGCCGAAATCCCAAGCCGGAGACGCAAAATCTTGGACGCTGAAGCAAAACGAGCAGCGCTTAAGATACTCATCCACGCTGCCACAGCCAGACCTGAAAGCGAGGCCTCTTCCGATCTTGAGGTCGAGATCGAGGAGCCGCCGAAACACAAAAAAGGTTCCGGGAAGCTGAGCATCAGCGAGGTCAAGAAAGTTCGAACGACAACCCTACCACCCTGTATGACGGCGCGTAGCTCCGAGTGCACCCGATGGAAAACCACCCCGCGCAAGACAGCTACCACTGCGAAATGCACGACGATCGAGCCGAAGGTCGCCGAAGACTGCACCAAACCGTCGTCTCCAGCGCCGAAAGCAACTTGCAAACCCTGCGCAGACGCGGCAACCCACAAGACTCGCGCGTCGAGCGGGCGGCCCAAAAAGGTGCCGACGACGACCGAGCCGTGCGACGCATCAGATCGACTCCTCAAGATATTGAACGGGACCCTCAGGACGGACAACTTCAGCAGACCGGACCAGAGCAGTCTGGCAGAATTGATGCGCGTCCTGCTCACCGAGCTCGTCTCCAATTCTTCGAGGCACGCTGAAATTCCCTCGGGGAAACCGGACGACACGGCACTCGTCAACAAATCCACTACAGAGTGCGCTAACCCCGTTTTGGATTCAAGTAAACTCAAGAACCTTACACCAGACCACGCACTCAAGAACACTAACAGTCGGCTTTTGAATAATTTCGTTAATTTCGCCACTTTAGAAGCGGCTAGGAGGCGTGGTGCAACCGAAAGACAGTCCGCAGCGCAAGACAAGGAGCCTATAGTGAACGGCAGGGAATCCACCCCACAAAACAAGGAGGCTGCGTCTCAAGATAGGCAAGCGGTGGCGCAAGATAAGCAACACGCCGTGCAAGATAGGCAAAGCGCATCGAAGACCGGAGAGAGCACGGTATCTCCACTGCGAGCGCTTACGGTGTTGCTGGACCTGATGCGGGGTCAGTCAGGTGACCCGGACTCGAGCGATCACCTGCGGTTGCAGTCTCTCGGTGAGAACGGCCCGGTAGCTTTGAATGTCTTCATCAAAGCAGCCATCATCCCCGAGTTCAAGAATGTGTCCGTGGCAAACGGCAAGGTGCGCAGTGCGGAGAGGGCGAATATTCAAGCTGGGCATCCCCGAAATACGCAAAAGGGCGCAGAAATGACGCCCACTCTGGCCAGTCCCCGCAGCCGGTACACTGACAACACGCTCAACAATCTGCTAAAGTCTATCATAGTTAAAGCGCGCTTTGAGCGGCCTGCTGAGCCAGAGATGTTACAGGTCCCAACCGAAAGGCAGCGTAGGTGACTCTACAGTATAAATAGCTGAACTTTCTTGCTCACTGATTGTGACGATTTATTTTCGTAATCTAGACAGATCCTCATGATTTTAGCTTAAGTAATTTTCAAACGTCAAAATCGTGAAAGTCCCCCCCCCTTTCCTCTTCTTCAATCTCGTAATCTGCTCTAAGATGTCCATGCTATTGTGAACGTCTTGAAGCACTGAATTTAATTTATCCATATGTGTCACGACTGTTCAACTCTCTTGTAATTAATTTTTGCTTGTTGGCAAATGCATTACATCACTTTAGCTGCATTAAATTAAACGAACATCAAAGAAGATTTTAAGGGTCTCCCTCTTTCACACTAGAACTTTTTGAGGGATGGCTGGTTTAGTTAGGGCAAAAATGGGGTAAAATACTGCAATGACACGTTTATAAAAGTTGTAAAGGAAAAAAATCATGGAAATCTAAGTCGAATTTTGCCTTAAAAAGGCACGTTTTAAGTGTAGGGCTCAGTGGAAATAATCAATCAGTTTAGTTTAAAATTCATCCTTATCATACGTTAATACATTTTAAGCATGTAAATGATCAGTGTATGTTTAGATATTTAAAAACTTTGTTTCTCGACATCGTAGTTGCGTTTCATTGTGTTTTCCAAGAGTCCCAAACTAGCATCATAGCACTAATGACTATTTGACAATATTGCCAAAATACGAAAGCCATGAATTATTGATGTTGATTTATACAATTGGAAATTACGGCTAAATTGTATTACTTTCATCGAATATTAATTATTACTTTCAACTAGGTTTGACAATGATCAACTGATAATTTGAACTTTTGAAAATCATGTCCTCTATTAATGGCACTAAATGGATTATAGGATTAAGTATGAATCACACGACAACGACAATCTCATGGATTCTTTCAACGATTTCCTATGAAATAAAAATCATGAGCTAAAATTGCAGAAATTTATGCATTTCTTCACATAATATCGATGTCTTTTATATGAATTAATCCAGAACCATATTAAACATCCATTACAGTATATCCAGCCATCCATATTGTGAAATATTTAATTATTTTCACAAAAAGAATCCATGAAATTTTCATTGTTAGCGTCGTTTTGTACAGGAATTACATACTTATGTGAACATGGTGCGTGACGCTCATTGGGTGCCGTGCTGCCGTGCATGGGTATAATTGTACGAGATCACCACCAGTTGCATATCTTATCTGTGGAAGGCTAAATTTTTGCAACCGAGCGCGACTAGAAGACAGTTAATTGTAAGACTCCCTTTCAGCTTGATTTACCATCTACCAACATTTTGTAAATACTCACATAATTATTTGAAAGATATAATTAACCCTTCGATGCCTAACCCGGGTCAAATTGACCCTGGGGGATTTTTTTTTTTTTTTTTTTTTTTTTTTTTTTTTTTTTTTTTTTTTTTTTTTTTTATATTTATTTTTTATTTATTTATTTAACAACTGCACTTGGAAATCCAAAGCTGGGTTAAATTAACCGTACTATTTCTTGTGGTGGAGATATGGGGACGGTTTTGGCGAGCTTTAGATGTATTTCTACGAATACATCCTTCAAAAAAATGAATCGGATATCAATTTAAAAAAAAAGAAAATCAAGTGTCAATACACCCGAAGATAGGACAGACGTATTCATGCCTTGTTCATTTATACTTCTCTACCGAAGCTGAGCAACATCTCATCGGCAGCATAGAATGGAGCATTACGACGGTGTAAGTCGACAATCACATAAGTCGGTTTGCGACGTCACAGACTTCCTGCCATACTTCTTTTTTTAACCGGTAAACTACTCAACGGCAATTCTTTAAAACTGCCGTGAATTTTCTTCTTTGTGCGAAGAAAATTCTGCATTAACTTCAAGGAATGATGTCAATTTGTTCTCCTTTAAAAAAATAACACAGAGGCGGAGATTTTCAGACACCGCAAACGAGTTATGTCATTGCCGACTTACGCCGTCGATTAGTTCACGTCTCGTGTCATCGCGCCTTCAATTTTGCAGATGCAACACGGACATCCATCGAGCACAAATAGTCGTATCTCTGCGCCGTCATCAACAATTCAACACCCGTCCATTCCCTCTTGCTCTATTTTCATGTTATGTTGGTTCCGTTTGTCTTATTTGTAATGGTGGTTCAAGACCTTTGTGAGCAACGCAGCTGAGGACAGAAAAGACGGAATCGGGCCTCGTTTTTTAACTTTTTCCCCAAATCTGAGCAACACTTTAATGACAGCGTATGATAGAGTATTGCGAGTTCATGCCTCGCGCTATCGCACCTTCAATTTTGCACATTCGACATGCACACACATCAGGTACGAATATCTTCTTCTCCGCGCTGCTGTCTGCTTCCCTAAAAATAAAAATAAAATAAAAAAAAACTACTCCACAGTTTTGGTATTAAATAAATTGTCCTAGTTCATCCAATAATAATAGTCACCAAAAGTTTCTATGCTTTTAAACATTAAACTTTTAATATTTCTGAGTCGGTTTTGAAATAATTTAGCCCCGCCTTATAGAAACATCTGCAAAACATTTTATTGTTTTTAGAGATACCTATTTTAAAAACAAACTTTAAGCGTTATCGTACTATCAGGGTAGTTTTCTTCCTGAGTATACGTTAATTTGAATCTCATTTTGCTTATTTTATTCTCATTCCCGCAGCCTTTGACGCTAGTTAAAAATTTGATGCCTATAATAACACCAGTTAATTTTCTAATGCCAATTCAGTGCGAAATCTCCAACCTAAGATATTCCACCTGAGCCTGCCGTTTAAACTCACGAGGGGTTTCCCGACTCGGTGTTTCTTATTGTGGACGAGAAAGTAAGCTTTTATAACGTTAAAGGCCATGAGGTAGCTCATGACCTCACAGCCTTAGTTCACTCACAAGTTAATAAATACGATAAGGCTTGTTATCGTCTAGATTCCTGCACTCGTCATCTAAATCGCGAGGTTGTTAGGTTTTTAATTTGAAACATCGTATCTGATTAGTCAAGTTTAATTAGCTCACTAATGGTGTAAAGAGACGTGGCTAGTCGTGAAGTATACCTCTCTTAATTTACTTACTAATCCTAAAGTTGTCATCCACAGGGACAGGTAAAGGGACCTTTATCATCTTCGGCAGCAAAATGTTCGGTATACTGTTAAAAGTATCTGAACACACCGGTGTATTTATTTCGGTTATTTGGATCGCGTTTAGTATAAAAGAACCAAGCCATATACGCTATTGCCAAATGACGGGCCAATTTAATATTTTATAAAAGAACATTTGTGCGGGTTTATTGGAAAATTTTAAGGACTTTGCCTCGTACTATGCAGAAAATTCACTGAAATTTGCACAAAAATCCGTAAAACCGTTCTCATGGAGAAACTTGAATCGCACAATTAAGTTTGGCAGTAGCTGATGTGGCTTGGTTCCTCTCTGCTTAAGGCGGTCCATTGGACCGTGATGTACAGGGAGGAAACAAGCCACATCAGCTATTGCCATTTAACTAATGGGCACATTCCTTTTTTACGAGAGAACTTTTAAGAGGATCCCTTTGAAAATTTTAAGGAATTTGCACAAAAATTCACACAGCCGTTTTAATGTAAAAAATGAAATTGCCCAACTTAATTTGGCAATAGCAGATGCGACTTGGTTCCTTAACGTGGTCCATTTGTTCGAAGGAACACAAGCTTATTCGGGATGGGGGGGGGGGGGGGGGGAGAGTGAGGGGCTTCCTTCCTCTGGTGGACTAAGAGGCTTATTTGGAGTGCAACGTGTTGTTTTTCGTTTACCCACCCGAGTACAATGGGAACACTCGGTAAGCTTGTATTTTTTTGGACAATTAATCTAAATAAACCCACCGCCTGAATCCTCGCGCATGAAATTGTTAACAGTGCATAGTGACTTTAATTAAGTTACGTCGAGGCGCAGACCCTTGATGTAAAACGCACGTCAGTCAGTCGCAAAAAAATTGAAAGCTCTGAAAAGCGATAGTGTAGAAACTCACCAAAAGTTCAAACAAAAAATCCTTACTTGGTAGAGCGGATAAGAAAATTTTGCGCATGTTGTTCTGAAATGCTAAAAATACCAGTAAGTAATTTAACTCATTGAAATATGTCTCGCAGATTACAATGAGACTACGCAGCAGAACTATCTAATCATCCTAATATTCTAATTTAATTTAAAAAAATAATAATATGAAGTGGAGGGGAACTTCGTAGAATCTCTCCTTGATGGGATGGCACCTGGTTTATGCCGGTCTGAACTCGGATCATGGAAAGAGTTACAGGACGAACAGACCAATCCATGTGAATTCTACTTTATAGTATATTCTTAATTCATAATCGATGTCGTAATTTATTTTGTAAATAAGATATTTTCAAAAATTTCATGCTTTTCCCTTACCACAGGACCGGATTAAGGGGGTGGCCACATGGGCCGCGGCCCATGGCGGCAAATTTTGCAATTTTTTTAAATGTAGGTATAAAGAAAAATCGGATTCAGGAAAAAAAATTATCAATGAGAAAATGGGACAAAATCTCTTTTTCCTGAGAGTATCGTAATTTCTAATTTGATCGTTTTTCGGTGATACAAAGAGACAGCACCTTTAATTAGTCGAGTTAAGAGAGGGACTAAACACGCAATTTGGCCTGGAGCTCAGTGCAGAGAGGAATGATGACGAGGACTGGAGATGAAAAGGACAAGCCCTCGGCACGGCGGTCGACATGTAACACATATTAGCGCCTACAAGACTGCATGAATACTACCCGCATTGCGTCAAACACAATGCGCACAGCCCAGCGATCGGCGTGAAACGCATAGCGCCTACAAGACTGTAGGAATGCTTCACGCATTGCGCCAAACACAGTGCGATCAGCCCAGCGCAGCGGTGGAACTGTGGAAGTTAAAATTATTAAACCACAACTATGTTTGTTCTTTCATAATTTTGTGGTTCATTTCTTATAAATGGAGGACCTTGTCCACACAGAGATATGTTTACGGAACTTAACTTTCGCGCAAAGTTCCGTGAAATTTTGCTAGTAGTGTTGACAGGGCTTTCGCAAAAAATGTATCCAACACGAGTAGGTAAACGCGTCCTATGCACCCCTCCCCCTTCGGCACGCTCACTTGATTGCTTTCATTGATGTTTCAAAACGAATGAGAAGGGGGCGGCAAAATACAGGCGGCCCATGGGCGGCAAGTAGGTAGGCCCTGCCTTACCATTATCCGTGAGAATTCAGTTTAAAGAAAGGAATCCCTAGGATCTGTGAGCTCTGTATCTCAGGTGCTACAGCGTTTGTGAGATGATTTTTGGATTTTTTTTTTTTGGAATCTGGCATCAATAGCTATATAGCAATAGTTGGGAAATGTTTTTCCTTTTTCTTTTATCCTTTATTAAGAAAATCACAACTTGGAACTGACAAGGACGCGAAATTTGTAACTGTAATTGAGAAATTGAAAAATTACCGCTATTTTTTTTTTACTTTAAAACAAAGACATTTTTTCCTTGAAATTTCCGATTATTTCTTGCCACTTGTTTACAAATTCTCATAGAATACCTCATATTTTGATCGATTTTTCCGTATTAAATGAAATAA